CATCCTTGATAATGGCTAAAGGTATAGCTGATAGCGCTCTGAAATATAAAACATTTGGACAGTTCTTACACACCCTTTGTCCAGAAAAGAAAGCTCTTGTCAGAACACAAGAAAAATTAAATAAAAAGCTCAACCATAGTACCTTGTCTGTCGTTTTTAATGAAACATGCATATATATATATATATATATATATATATATATATATATATATATATATATATATATATATTATATATATATAACATATTTATATTATATATATAACATATTTATGTTATAATTTCCAAATAAATAATTATATATATATATATATATATATATATTACTATATATTACAGTGAGGTTCACCCTTTACAAGATCTGGGGGCTAATCAAGTTAGAAGTACGTTTAGAGGCCATTTGTGTGTATAGTAGTGGAAGTTAATGGTTAACCCTAGCTTTGAACAGCTTAAGATTGTAATGATTGGGAATTGGTTCCGCAGGGCAGTCATTCACAGGAAGAAGCTGCTCTAGTGGAATTTACTTCTCCCCAATGAAATATGGAGGAAATGTGGGTGGTTTGCTGCTATGTAAGTGGCATGGTGTGTTCTTGCTGAAGAAAGTTTGCCTTAAAAGGACTAGGGAATGTAGTTCGTCCCAACACTTTCCACAAAAGTAGCTGTAGAGCAGTGAGAGGCTTGCCACATCCCACCTGTCGGAGAGAGATTGAAGGGTGGAGAATAATTCATCAACCACAAGGGCTTGGAGATGCTTTTGAACTCTATAAAGGCTGGAGAGTGAAGTCTGGGAAGCTCCTGCTCAAATATGACAACAGTACTCCATTTTTGGTCTGATATGGTTCTTGTAAAGGTAGAGGATAGCATGAGGAATCAGGTACTTACTGGAGTGGTACAGAGAGCCAACCATTTTACATGCATCCTTAGCAATGGATCATAAGTATGAGTTCCACTTGAGGTCAGGTGTGAGTTTGAGGCCCAACAGTCTTTCAAGATATGGTGCTTCCCTGAGATGACTTCGGTTCATCCTGATTGGTGGTAGCTCAGGATCAGATCAGCAGTGATGAAATATAACTAGCTTGGTCTTTGAGGCATTGAATGTAACCAGCCAGCTTTTACCCCATTGGGTAGTTGTGCAAGATTGGGAGAGAAATCAGTTACTAATCTTTGACCGTACAAAGTTTTAGAGGTGTGCTGTATATAGTCATATCATCAGCATAGATATTTACAAATGACCTGAGTATATTCTCAGAAAGATCATTTATGTAGATCAAAAAAGGGGTTAGTCCGAGGACTGACCCCCGGGGAACACCTGCATTGACCTCTAGGACTCTGGAGTACTGGCCATTGATAACTACCTTCAGGAACCTACCTGTTAGGAAGAATTTTATAATCGAGAAGACCCTTTCGGTGATTCAATAACTGGAGAGTTTGTGTAGTAAGCCTTTGTGCCACACCTTGTTGAAGGCTTTTGAGATATCTAGTGCTATGAACCTCAAGGTGTGTTTGTCATCAAGAGCTTCACTGGTTCTCTGAGCAATGGTAGTTAGGACATGGGCAGTGAATCGGGTCAACTGAAACCCATACTGCTTGTTGCTGAGGTGTTTGTTCTTTTCTTGGTGCTCGAGAACCTTCTTATTGATTATGGCCTCAAAAAGCTTGCTGATGATACTGAGGAGACTGATGGCTCTGTACTGGATGGGGGAAGATCACACGCTTGCATTCTTGAAAACCAGGTATATACTTAACACTTTCCACAGGCCTGGGAAGGATTTCTCCTTAAAGAACCGGTTGAATAATTTAGCTAGGGTTGGGGATAATTCCGGGTTGATGTTCTTAAGGACAAACACTAAAATTTTGTTTGGACCAGTGGCTTTCTGAAAGTCAAGACCTTTGATAAATCTAGAGACTTCTTGTGCTGTGATGGTAATATTACTGAGATTGTGCTCAGTAAGACATGGGAACTTGGAGAAGGGATGGTCTTTGTCATCTAACATTGAGTTATATGTAAAGATGGAGGTGAAGAGGTTTGTATTATCTGTCGAGGAAGATATAGACTCAGGGCCATTTATAATTATAGGAACAGCTGCTTTACCTCTGTTCATGATTTGGTTGGTGATCTTCCAGAATTCACAGGATCCAATTTGTTTATTTTAAACCTTGGTCTGGACTGCTCTTGCATAGCTGCACTTGGGGTTTTCTAGAACTTTTTTGCAGCAATTGTGGGCAATTCTGAATGCAGTGAGGGCCAAAATACTTCAATCCTTGTGACAGATATTGAAGTAGTGGTTTTGGTGAGCTATTGCTAAACTGCATTTGGGGATGAACTAGGGTTGACTGGCTTTTGCTGGAATTTTTTTTTGAGTATAAAACGCTCCATTCCAGAAAGGATCCAATCAGTGACAAAAGCAGCAGTTTTTTTGGAGGCAGCATGCTTGGAGAAGGTTAAGAGGGGAGCTTCCATCATACAGTATTGAAAGCTGTCTCAGTCTGCCTTCGCATAGCAAAAAATTGTTCTATGGAATGCTACATCAGGGGATGCCTTAGGTTTGGCATCAATCTGAACACTGATTAGTGAATGGTCTGATGTGCCTAGTGGAGGTAAAACTTTTGATAGACATTTATCAGGGCAGGAGGTTAAGAAGAGGTCCCATTGTGTCTGGGACCCTGGTAGGTTCTCCAATTATCTGGGTTAGTTTATAGGTGATGGAGAAGTCTCTCGCAATATCTGCCTTCAACATCGGCTTTGTTGGAGCATACTAGCCATTATTTATGGTCGATGTTGAAGTCACCACAGATATGAAAGCTGGCTGAGGGGAATTGAGTGAGGATATTATCAATCTTCTCTGATATTTGGTCAAAGATTACTGTTCCTTTGTCCTGAGAATGGTAGAGAGCAAAGATAAATGTGGTACTGTGGATAAGTGCCATGCAGAAGCACATATATGGGAAATCAGGTTCCTTGTTTTTTTGCACCCTTGCCACAGAGAAACTAGTCCTTGCTGAAGGCTCCGAATCCATGGCCATGACGATTTAGGTGGTCATGTTTGGCTATGAGAGGTGAGTAGACTGGGTCTGTGAACTCCTCTAGTGCACATGAAGTGGTGATACCAGTTTCAGAAAGTAACAGGAGGTCGGGTTTAGATTGGAAAACATGGAGTTCCACTTCTGGAAAGTTGAAATGTAGACCCTTCTCTTTGGCATAGGAGATGGAATACAAGGGGTCTATTTAGTGTTTTCATTTATTTTGGTTGGGTTTGATAGTTTTGTTCATTTGTATTTTGATTGGTTTCATGCGTACTTTGGTTGGTGGAAGACTGGTTGGCAGACAGACACACCTGCAGGAATTGCATGCATAAATAACTTGGAGAGAATCACCGAGAGATTCAGTCATAGTAGTACCCTTTATAGTAGTGTCGAGAGCCCCCCACACACACACACACACACATGCACACACACTTGGAGACTACTGCATGGTCAAGAAACCATTCACAAAATGGCAGTACAGTAGCCCTGATATTATACATTTGCTGATAGGATAGCCTCCTTCAAAGTTACACAAAGGTTCAGACACCTGACTATTAGGTGGGTAGCACCAAAATCCAGAAAATGTCTGTCTCCAGCAATCTTAATGAAGGAACAATCAATATAGAAAAGAAAATACATGCAGGATGCTCTGAGTGGACATGTTGCATCTGTCCAGAAAGTTAAGGCAACAGAACTCCTCTTTGGATCAGAAGCATTTGTACCAGTCCAAAACCTAAAGGCACTGATAATAGCTTGCTCATGTACTTGAGGCCAATGGGAAAAGTGGGGAGAAAAAATATTATTAGTAATTAAGTTAAATGTACATAGTAAGTAAGGTGAAAGATAAAGAATAAGAAAGAGTGAACATTCAGAAAAGTTATTAGAATTACCAACATACATTAAGACAGGCAGTGTTTTCTAGTGGGTTCATTGAATGAAAATTGAGGCAGGAGTAATCACAATATTAAACACAAATAAAATTAGCCAAATTTTGGGTACCTTTGCTCATACCAAGAAAAAATAAATAAATATAAATTGAATAATTAATGGAAATAATAGCTGTCTATATTTCTGAGATGAATACTTTATACTATTTACAGTGTTTGGACTGTTGTCCTCATCTTTGTTGCCATATTAACAATGTCCTCAAGGACACTTGGCCCCAGTGGATAAAAGCATTGGTTGAATTAACCCAGTGACTTGACTCAATGAGTTGTCAGTTCAATACCTGGCTACAGCAGAAGGAACAAAAATTCTTGGAGAGTTGAGTTAATGAGAAATAACAGATACTGAAACATGGCACATAGAACTAGAACAATCTACCCCAATGGATGAAATAAAGGGTTCAGTTTGAAATTCTAATTCCCTGAAGAAGGCTAGAGCATACAACAGCCAAAATGTTGTGATTATGGCAACAAAGATGAGGACAACAGTCCAAACATTGTAAATGGTGTAAATAATTAGTAGAAATACTCAAGTTATATATAGCAAAATATAAGGTTCAAGAGCCACTCAAGGTAGAGGATTATTAAATGAGGCATGTGATATGAAGTGAAGATTATGAGGATATGGAGGATAGGTTACAATTCACTCTTGATTTGAAGAGGTTGTTATACTTGAGGAAGCATCCACACAGAAGTTTTTTCCACAAAACAGCATTTCTTGGAAAAAATCTGTTTGAGCGGAAGGTCGCATAAATGATTTTGAACTCTATTAAGGCTGGAAAGAGAAAATTGTACAACTCCAACACAGATATAACAGCAATAATTCATTCTTGGGGATGAAAAGTGTTGTCAATACTTTATTCAGTAATTTTGCTATTTTCAAAGTTACAAAATGAATTTAAGAATAGATGATGATAATTTCTGTGTCTCCTTTCTTGAGAAGAATGAAAACAAAAAAATAAAAAAAAAATTAAAATTAAGAATAATTTCCAATTCTGAGCCATTATCCATTACACTATCTCCACATCTAAGCATACAGCTCCTGGTATTCCTCAGCAGTCACCCATCTAGGTACTGACCAGGCTTGACATTGCTTAACTTCAGTGTTTGTACAAGAACCAATGCTTCAATGTGATATGGCCATAAGCCCTTTCTGTGCCTTCTATAATAGAGGAGGTCTGTCTCTCTGTTTCAACATACCGCAAAACAACATATTATCATTCATTTTGAATGTAAAAACCCACATTCTTCACCAACCTCCAAAATATCTTAGCACAAGCCAGAAATTGTCCACAAGAACTGAAAAAAAAACTGATCCCTCAGTCCAGGGCAGAAAATCCAGATCTAGTCACTGGAAACAACTAGAAAAGAATTTACATAGTAGATTCCACTAAAACAGTAAAATTTAAAGAAAGTTAAAAACTGGAAATTTCTCTAGACCTTGATAGATCACTTAAAAAGATAGGGAACATGAAATAATGAAATCCTAAATATATCTTGCAAAGAGGTTGGAAAACTTGGTAATGTGAGGAAGAATAAAAAACAATTCAGATAACAGCATTACTAAAATCAGCTAGCATTCCAAGGAGAGAGCTGCTATGTTGAAGATAGTTGCTGTCATTTGATTTCCAGTGAAAGTTATTAACTTCTTTTATGTGTCCTGTCTCTTCAGAATATTGGCAATCAAGTCTCTCTACAACTTCCTGTATCTTTTAATTGCTGTTGTTCTCAGGTCCACACTGACCTGGGGTGGTAGCACCTGTTAGGGTCCCAGCTATGGGCAGATAGTGAACTCCTAAACAAAAAAAAAACACTATGAATGTATAAAAATACATTTTTATAGTAAAAATACCAGCAATACATTTTTATATAAAAAGAATTACTAACAATATATATTGATAGTAAAATTAACAATACCTATTTATAGTAAAATTAACAATACATTTTTAAAGCAAAATGACCAACAATATATTTTATAGTAGATATAGTAGAATTACCAACAATACATTTTATAGCAGAATGACCAACAATACATTTTGTCTGTAGTTGAAGGTATACAATTAGGTTCAAAATATATTTAGTTGAAGCCATAAAATTGTGTTGAAAATATTTAGATTTCAACATTAAATAACCCATAGAGGTGTTGATATGCTGCTAAACAAAATCAACCACCCAACAAATTCTTGTCTTTTATTGCTTTTAACCATTTAACATCCCTCTTTATCCCTGTTCTGCTAATTTCTCACAAACTTGTTAAATAGATTTCTTGCTGTTTCACTCTCTTCTTTTACCTTCATTATGTCCTGTGAGTGTTAAATTCTCCAGGCACTCTTTCCTCATTATGTGCCACTGAAATTTCAACTGTCTCTTTCTGATTGTAGTATAAGTCTTCTTATAGTTTCTATTTTTCTTAAAACTACAATTTTGACAGTTTTTAGCATTTATCAGTGGAACTGCTTCCTTGTCACTTCAAGTCTCCTCTTCACTGCTTATAAGGGATTGGTGTGAAAAGAGGAGGAGGCGGAGGAGAAAAACAGCAACAGCAATAATGAAATAGAGATGGTAGCTATTTTCAAAGTTAATTCCCTTTATTATAGCACGATTGGCACACCGTAGTTATTTTTTTTCTACACGTTGCTTTTCAGCCGCCATGTGCTATAGATACGTGGCTTTCTGTTGGACTAAGAAGCAGACGAATATTTTTTTTTTATATTGTTTTTATTGTTCAAAGGTTCTTCGGAGCATGCATTGCATCAGCAAATCGTCATGAGATAGTTGAAATGATGTTTTTTTTCTTCTTTTATTTTTTTACGTGTCCGACAAACTAAACAGAAATACTGTTATACACAACAAGAAGATATCACAAAAAAAAAAAAATGAAACTCGAAATGTTTGTTTCATTCAATGACATTATCTTTTTAAAATTTATGATTAAAATACACACAATTCATTAACTTGACAAAAGGCAAAAATTCACTGTTTAAAAATGTTACGTATGTCATTAGAAGGGTCAGTGATGGTGTTTTTAGAGAGTTTCTGTTTATTTATTTTATAACCATCTTCTTTATATGGATTTTTAGTAGTCTTTGTTGAGATATTTGCTTGCGGGTTTTCGGTTTTTACGATTCAATTCCCGACAAAATTTGTTCAATATTATTCAGCTGTAAAAAATAAAAAAACAGAATAAACGTTTAAACCTTTCTTTTTTTTTTTTTTTTTTTTCTTTTTATAAAATCGGTAACACAAAATTTAAAAACATGCCAATTTAATAATAATAATAATAATAATAATAATATAAAACTAAAAAAGTGATCGTCAGTTTTTATTTTGGGGAAAATGGTATTGTAGTTGTAGTAATATTCAAAATTTAATAATTAAAATAGCTAGCTTGTAAACTTTTTACAATTTCAAAGTTTACAAGGTTTTTTATTTAAAACACACACACACACACACACATACAAAAGAGAAAAAAAAAATCCAAAATACACAGACACAAAAGAAGAGGGTCAATATCTATCGATCTATCTTTGAGTCAGATCTAATGACAGTTTCCCCTAGGGGACGCAGGTTCGAATTCTGCCGGAGGGCGCTTATTTTTCAAACAAGATTTCTCGGAATATTCAGGCCGGTAGCTGGAAATAAATAAAACAAATGTACTATTTAATAAATAAATAAAAGCAGAGTATCTACTCAAATATGAATATCCATTTAAAAATAACACTTAAACAAATAAATTATTGCTGATACCTCTGATATTAGAATTTAACTTGAGAAGCACTACTACAATGTTTTACAAGTTCACGTTCTAGCCTCTTTTCTGATCTTTGCCGCGATTTTCACCCCTGCTTTCAAATCCGGCTCCCAAAGCCTTGTCCGTAAGAGATAAGAATATATTTTCTGACGAACGAGGAAGCTGGGAAATGTAAAAAAAAAAATTTGATCAACGTTGCCCTGACCATAGTGCCGTAAGTCGGAGGTGGGGGTGGGTGTTTAACGCTCACAACTTGCCGGGCCCTTGATTCCAAAAAACACCCCCAAACCTTCGATTCTTATCAGAGATAAGAATATATTTTCTGAAGAATTAGAGGGCCGGGAAAGTGTATAACAATTTTGAAGGGATATATTTCCGAGCCTTCTAATCTCAATAGATACGGAGAATATGCGCCCCTTTGGCAGTGAGTACTTGACATCGGCTGTGATAACATCAGGTCAGTGACAATAACACCAGTCTTCTCTGGAACCTGTTTCAAGAAAGAAATCTACATGCTGGGCTCTAAAAACAGAACGTCAGCCTTCTATTAAAAACTAATCGAGATTTGCTTCCTTGGACCTAGAAATTCCTGTCGTCGACCAACAAATTCACTCAACTACAAATTACGGATCTTCTGATTGGTTCCTACTCAACAAGAGCTCTGAAGAAATCTATGTAAGTGTTAACCTCTTAAGAACAATTTACTTGCTTAAAGAACTTTTTGACGCCCAGGGAATTATTTTGAGCAAGCCTTTATGAACACTTTTTCTTCCTTTATTTCATTCTGTCATATTTGTGTATATCACTTTAACATTTTTTTTTGTGTATGTAAATAAACATATTCTTCTGCTGTTACACCCTGCCTAAAAGAGAGAATTGTCCGCTCTAAACTTTCAAACCGTTGTTACTTTTATCGATTATACTTGTATTCTTTGCTTGTATGTTACGGGTGTAATTTGGTGTGTTTTGTGTGCTTAAATGAGTCCTAATTGAGCTACAGTCGAGAAAGTTTAACGTAAGTCGTCTAGATAGGCATGTAGTATTATGACCAATGTAATTATTTATGAGTTTGGTTTGATCAGGAACACAATTCCTTAAGGGGCATTTGAACTCGTAAATAATATTAGTTCTTTGTAGTTTTGATTTTGCAGGTGTGTTGTTATTTTTTATGATAAGGTTAGCGGTTTTAAATTTTTTGTAATAGATAATTTAATTTTGATGTTCAGGTCAACTGGGGTTGTGTATTTCTTTATGATATTTCTAAGAGAAAATTCGTCTTGCTTATAGTTGACATGTACTTGGCTTTTATGTTATTCTTTTTATCTGTATATTCAGTATCGCTATTAGTTACTTTATATATATATATATATATATATATATATATATAAGCGGCAGACTAAAAAACAGCAAAGCTACTAAAAATAAAATCTAAAATAAGATAAAAAAAATTTGTCGGGGATAGTAGAAAACTCATAAGCTATAAAACCAATCGTAGTTGATTTAAGCAAATTAAAACTCTTCGAGTTTGTATCTCATATTAATTAATACAGGATCTTGCAATAGGTTGTAGTCCGTCTACTTAAAATGCCAGCACGTCCACAAAAATCTATGAAAGTGACCTCTTTTACTCAAAAAGAGAAACGAAACGGATATAGATCAAAAGGCAACTACATGTCATCTCCTATTAGTCTTGTACTTACTTTTCTTCTGTAAACTAAGTAATGGCATTTATATGCACTTTTTTTATATGCCCCTTTCTAACAACATTTCAAATAATAAGACTGTTTAATACGAAAAGACAGCTCGGCAGAAAATGAATTTACACACAAGCACTTTATCTTAAAAGTATAAATAAATTGCGGTTTAAAATTTTACCACAATTTTTGGAAGTATTACTATACCATTTATAACTAGTACTAATTACCAATGCTGCTATAAATTTTCTTGTTTGATATTGTAATGTTCTCCTAAAATGTATTCTTTTGTACAAACCGCAGGTGGTGTATGGAATAGTCATGCCGATTTGGAATTTATAAAATAAGCGTGACGGTTGAAATAAACATTTCCTCCAGAAATGTTCGATCCTCGGAGGAACGAAATAATCGTGCCGTGGAGAAAATTATTAAAAAATAATAAACTTGTCATACCACAACAAAATAATCGCGGTCCCGGCGGGGGAAGACGTGAATAATTTAATTGTGCCGGCACTCGTATTCCGATGAAAATTAATTTTAGAATTGGATTAAAAGACTTACGTTAGAACAACGGAAATTTGTTAATAAATTCAAGACATTATTTAAAAGAAAACATATATATATTTGGAGACATATATAAGAGATTGGTAATCATCTTACTTATTATAAAACCCAGGTTGTGTGTGTGTGTGTGTGTGTGT